CTGGGTGCAGCCCTCCAGCCAGTTGGTGACCCATTTGACTGTGTGGGTGTCTACGCCACAGCCCCGCAGTTTCTTAATAAGAACGGGGAGAGAGACAGTGTCAAAAGCCTTCCAGAAGTCCAGGAAGACTATGTCCACTGCTACCCCTGCATCTAATGATCTGGTGATCTGATCGTAAAAGGCCACCAGGTTGGTCTGACAGGACCTGCCACTGGTGAACCCGTGTTGGTTGCCCCTAAGCATGCAGTTCCCTGCTGGCCCCTCGTGGATGTGTGCCAGAATAATTTTCTCAAACAGCTTGCCTAGGATCGAGGTAAGACTAACTGGCCTGTAGTTTCCCGGGTCCTCCTTCCTCCCTTTTTTGAAGATGGGAACCACGTTGGCCCACTTCCAGTCCTCCGGTACCTCTCCAGAGCACCACGAGTGTTCGTAAAGCCTTGCCAGGGGACTTGCAATGACCTCAGCCAGTTCCTTTAGAATTTCTTGTTACAGTCTACTGCAAAGCAATGTGTAAGCTCCCCCTGCTGTCTGTGCAGTAGCCATCCTGAGCACAAGCTATTCTCAGAGTTATTTCTTCATAGCAGCTGAGGCTGCAGTTCTGCTTCCCTGCAGCTGTCACAGCAGATGTGATCTAAATGTGACCTGTCAGGTTGCATTTAACCATCAAGGAAAGAGGCCTCCCTTGCAAAGTTCAATCTACCTGGAGACAATGTTAGCATCCTTCTACCTGCTTCCTACCAGACAAATTCCCACGTGTGTCAAAAGCAGAGCCATCCATCCACTGGCAGGTGTGAGATTCTCCTGGGAGCTGGGACCATTCATCCCTGTAGCTGGTCATGTGCAACCCACTGAAGGCAGAACTGAAAAAAGCTGATATACACGTGTGTGTTCACCCAAACATAAGAAAATGAGTTGCACATGCACTGACTCCCTCACGCAGCTACAACATTCAGGAAGGAAATCCCAGCCCACCCCTTTCACCAACAGCCTTTGTAGGTTTGCTAGAACTGCCTTTTTAAAGAGCGGTCTCAGGGTCTACTAAATTCAATCCTCTCTGGAGATGCTTGCCATCTATAAACCATGAAGCACATCAGTAGACTCCTGTGGACAACTATTACCCTATCGAGAAATCTAAGAAAGAAACAGAAACCCTCCTGAGAAGCAGGTTCCCCCTCTGCCTGCCTGTTCCCGGGCCCACCAGAGTAGATAAGCAGAGAGGCCTCTGCCCATCTTGGGTGCCTCACCCCCTTCCTGGACACTGAAGAACACCTTCCTCCTCCTCCTCCCTTTGCAGGGACTGACCTTCTGCAAGTGGCTGCTCATGAATTCGGCCATGTCCTGGGCCTCCAGCACACAGCTGTCTCCAAGTCACTGATGTCCCCCTTCTACATCTTCCGCTACCCACTGAGCCTGAGTGAGGATGACAAGCAAGGCATTCAGTACCTCTATGGGAAACCAGAGCTTGAGCCAGAACCAGCCCCAACCCCAACCCCAACCCCAACAACAGAGCCACCCCAGCCAGACATTGAAACAAATGAGATCACCAATGAGGAGGTGAGTGAATAGCAATGCATGTACCAAAACCCCAGAGAATACAGAATCAGCATCAGTTTCTTTCTCTGCATCCTGCTGAATCCTCCCCTAGTAAGGCACTGGGGCAGCCACAACAATCGTAGAGGAGCTGGGGAGCAGGGGACCCATTAAGGATTCTCACTTCATTGGGGCCTGGTTATATGAGGCTTCCTCTTATACAGGCAGCCTGAGGTTAGATGACAAGTAAAGTATGTCTGAGGGCTGTAGTTGGTCCCCTGCCACCACCCAAGCTTGGAACAAGTTGGTGAAGAGAGCTCAAAGACCTTCCCTGCAGAAGCAATAGAGGTCAGGGCAGGAGGGTTTTAACAGAGCTGAGTAGGGAGCTGAGGAGCGCAGCAGTGATCCAGATTGGGGCACAGTGGCAGATCTGTGTGGTTAAGCTTACATAGCACCTGGCCAGGCAGTGCCTGGCTATAGCTAGGGCTATTGACTGGTTGCTTTAATAAACTAGCTTCCAGGTCCTTCAACAGGCAATTCAGTAAGTCACACCACAAATAGGAAGAGCTCCTGCTGTTAAGAGCTCCTCCTGCCTGCTCGCTCCCAAGATGCTTCATCCAAGCACTTTATCAGTGCAGAACAGGATAGATTTAAAAAATGCTGAGGAAAGTCACTGCATATGATAGAGTATCTCCAAGCTTCCCCTGCTGAGACACCAGGCAGGGTGTGGCGCACCCACTATGCCCAACACCTGACCAACCTGCGGTGTTCTCAGTCTGTGCACCCAGATGCCTGCGACACAGATTTCGACGCCGTTTCTACCATCAGGGGGGAGCTGTTCTTTTTCAAGTCTCGCTACGTGTGGCGGCTCCGGGGGGGAAAGCTGCAAGCCGGCTACCCCGCCCTGGCTTCCCGCCACTGGCAGGGGATCCCAAGCTCTGTCGACGCAGCCTTCGAGGATCCTCTAGGAAATATCTGGTTCTTCCAAGGTAAGCAAGAGCAGAGCAAGTTTGGAGCAGAAGAAAGGATGAGAGTCTGTAGAATGGGGAAATGCAGACTTAACGGGTTTCTGGGGATCCAGACATTCTTGGCAGCTTTGAGGAAAGGTCCTAATAGGATGGTCCCTTTACCTCCCTCTCTTTAGCTGTGGGGAAGGGGTGCTTTTACATGAGATAACGCCAAGATACCATATTTTCCTCCTCTAGAACAGTGGTCTCCAAAGTGGGGTGTGCAAGACAATCCATTGGGGTGTGGGAAGAAAATATTAGAACTTCTATTTATATTTATATAAATATACATATATTGGGGGTGCATG